ATCTATACTATACCTGTGCATTTGATTTTTCTTGCCTAAATGTAGAATCTTACTTTTTTCACCACTGAATTTCATTTTGTTAGATAGCGCCCAATGTTCAAGTCTGTGAAGATCCTTTTCTATCTTAAGCCTGTCTTCTGGAGTCTTGGCTATTCCTGCCAGCTTGGTGTCATCTGCAAATTTGATGAGTTCCCCATCTATCTCCTCATCCAAATCATTGTTGAAGATGTTGAAGAGCACTGGGCCCAGAACCGAGCCCAGAGGCACCCCACTATACACTTCCCTCCACGTAGATGCAGTTCCAGAAATATAACTGGAAATATAAGTCCAAATGTTATTTATCTTTTCATAAACATTCAAAAGTCTAGTGCTTCCACAGTTTTAAGCTTGGAAACATGGCTTATGATTCAGGCTTAGTTGCATATACAGCATTCAAAATATGGACACAGTTACCCTGTTCACATAAATATTGAAAATATTGAAATAAGAGAAACCAGGAGCAACCTACTGCATAACAATGTAATTATTCATTACATTACCTAAAAGTAATGTAATGAATAATTTAAAAATCAGTAATATCACAGCAAGGAAAATTCATGCAAAATAATGATCATTTATAGCTTTTAAAGAAAACCATGTCGTAATGGCCTTTCTAACTGCCAACAGTTTTGGCACTGACCTGATTCCAGGAGGAATGCTGTTCCATAGCAGAGAAGTGGCAGAAGAAAAGACCCTTTTTCCAGAGTGGGGGGACCAAAACTGAGCCCTCAGTTCCTAATCTTATTGTCATGGTTCCGACTAATGGAACACTTCAAAGAACTTCCAGGCATTGTTTATCCTAAAAAGTCTTTGGTATGGCATGGAGGATGCCAAGATCTGAATTCCCCTCCCCTGAGCACATATTTTGCCAGCATTTTCCCTCCCTTAATTTGCTGTCATAAATCACGGTCTCCAATCAGTTTTAAGGGCAAAGGTTCCCTTCCGTTTCTGTAGCAGGGGTTTCTTATCTTAACTAATCCCCACACATTCTTTCTCCTCCCCTCCCAGCATCATCTAAGTTAACTCTAAAAATACCACACAGGTCTGCATATTTTGTCAAAGCAAGAACATCCAACGTTAGCAGCGTTGACACTTATTAGATGGGCAGACACCACTAAGATCAGGTCAACCCAAAAATGTCCAGGTAGCTTTAAAAGTGATAAACAATACATTTAATATACCCAGAAACCAACTAATAATAGTGCAGCTCTTGAGTTAGAGGTGTTAATTCACATCAAATAAATTCTTCAAGTGACAATATTAAGTTTCACAAGCAAAACTATGCTTCTTCTCTGTACAGTTCAGAATTTATCAATCTTATCTAGCTAAAGAATCCTCCCTATCTTCCAAATTCCAATGATCTATTGACAGGAAGAACCATAAAATAAAACTGCATTTAAATTCAACATTCTGCTTTTATTACTGGTTCTAAAATAAAATTAATTACTATTAATTACTAAATTAATAGTAATTATATCTTTTTTCCCCAAAAAATCCTCAGACTATTCTAATCTGGATTTAATTAGATGAGGGAAACTTGGGGGAATCAAGAGCACATTATTAAAAATAATAATTTATTAAATGTATATGCCATCCAACTCCCAATGACTGCGGGTGGTTAGCAGCAATATAAAACAGGTGAATAATTCAGTATTCCAGTATTTTCCCCATGAAATATTCCATTGTTAGATCAAATGATATTCATGGCCAGGACATAAACTCTTTAGCACAGGGGTAGTCAACCTTGGCTCTTTTATGACTCGTGGACTTCAACTCCCAGTTGAAGGAATTCTGGGAGTTGAAGTCCACGAGTCATAAAAGAGCCAAGGTTGACTACCCCTGCTTTAGCAGATGATGTCTGCAGTCTCTATTGGGTTTTGAAAGATGCTTTGGACAAAGCATGAGCCTTGTCGTCGTTTTGTACCTAATATATCCTTGATGAAACCAAGTAATTTAACCAAAATAGAGCATTGCAACTCCTTCCAAATTTCTATCTGTCCAACTTGAAGTTAGCATGCATTTGTGAATCTGGATTTATGTTATTGTAGTNATTGTAGTGCAACCTCTATTAACTGAGGAGGCAGATCCTCAGGGCTGCACAGAAACTGTTTTTTGTCCTTTTCCATGCTTGAGGCAATAGAGTGCATTTGTAGCACATGACAAAACTCTGGAGCACTTGATCATGCTGTATAGGAAGGTGCCTTTAGCATACTCTGCAGGCCACAACTTTGCCTGTGTTTGCATATAAGGGAAGCCATGATTTAGCAACTGCAGTGACTGGGTCACACAGCACCCATAGGAAAGACAGCATATATAATTCCTTTTATACTAGTACAGGTTAAATAGCAGGACCAAAGAAAACTAGGCAAGCATTTTGGTTAAATTAACTTTTTTTAAAAAAAATATTTTTAATAATCCTTTTATATTCACAGATCCTAAATTCACAGACATAAAAAGCAAGAAATACAAAGCATGTCTTTGCATTACATGAAAAGAGATGGGAAAAGATCTGAGGAATATAAATAGCAGGTTCCTCACTGATGATCGACGTTATTAATTTTGACTTAAGGCTTTACTGGATAAATACAATTTTTATTTCGTTGTTAAAGTTCTTATATGGCGTTCC